AGTGAGGCAATGGGAGGTGTGTTTCACATTGCTGTTGCCACTGCTGAAAGACAAGCTGTGTTCCAGACAGCTGCGCAGATTTTTATGAGCACGGCATGCAGGCTCTTGTTCATTGCTGGCAAAAATGCATAGCTAATGGTGTTCAGAAGTACTGTTTTTTAGCTGATAATTTGTTTTATCAAATAGAGTTATTGTGTCCTTTATATCTGTAGTTTCCATAGAAATAAATAGGAGACATTACTTTCGGAGCAATCTATATTTTATTTCCTATGTGGAGCAGTTAAAACCAAACTGACACGTGACTGGATTCTGTGTCAATATTGGCATTTCTCTCCAAAAGATGCCATGTCTGGCTCTCCCACATGACAGCAGGAGGATAAGTACAGGGGAGTTTGTGCTTCAAACACCAGTGTGACATTTTGGGGAAATGTGAGTCCCTCTAAAGCCATGAATTTGGGCAGTGCTCTTTTTGTGAGGCTTTCTTCAAACATAGGTAGGCACTGGTTTCTTATTTCACTTTTGATTTCCTCTTATGCTGTGGTAAGCAAGTAGAATTATTAGAGAGATGGTTAGGGAAGAGTATGTATGTTACTATTACTTATCTATGGAGTTGATTTTGCTTATATTGAATGCTTTTTACTCTGTGAAAAGTGGGCTTTTCTGTAGTAATATGCAGAGTGTTGGAAGTTCTGAAAGACATAGAAAAAGAAGCAGATAAGGAATGATCCTTCTGCATGCGTGACATGCATTTACTATGTGATTTTCCTATAAAGTAGGATTTTTTTTTGTCTCGGTTCCAGTGTTTATTACCATGCTGAAATCTTCCAACTTATTTATTGATGTGCTTCAATTCAGTGTAGGACAGCTCTGGAACTATGAAATGAAAAGTGTATTTCTGTGTGTACTATACAGCTCTTGGAGTACATGACCACCTTTGCATTGAAGAGGTGGTATGCGCAGCAAGACAAAATCATTTTGGCATTTTTAAGCTGGACCTCTGTTTGGTTGTTTGAACAGTTCTTAAGGCATGTTTCTTTGAGTCTAGAGCCAGTCTGCATTTTACTTGAGTAACTGGAATGACTTCTGGTTGAGCAGTGAAAGACTTGTCTGGAGCATCACTGGAGTACATGTGTGGGATCTAATGTAGACTTGTGTGCATTGTGTCCTGCTCTCAAGTTCGTAAGAGTAACACAAGCGATGTATTTTTCCTCAAAATGTGAATATACATTATGTGCAATCCTAAGTAAAGGCCAAAGCGAAGGTGCCTGACAGACCTGAAGCAGAGTGCTGGAAGCTCTTCCTTCAGCATGTGCAGAAATCAGCTCAAGATGAAACTTCACAGGCAGTGCCTCTGAACAGCGAGATCCCTGAGCTGTGAGAGCGTTGGACTGAATGTGTGCAGCTGTTGTCAGTACTGTGGATCTCGGTTGGGTAACGTAACATCTGCTGTGATTGTACAGGCTACTTCTAACAGCTGCACTGACCTGGTGGCTTGCTTATGTTGCCTTTATCCTGAACCTGCTTAGCTGTGGTGCACCAGTAGCTCTGTTTTATGTATTCTAAATAGAAGTTGAATATATCTGTTTGGGTTTTATTTCTGTTTGGCAAACTGAGTATCTGCAGCTATAATAGTTTTGTGACTCCCAGAGCATGCTGTATCTTAATCTCCTAGAGGCAAGTAAGTCAGAGGGACTTCGGTAAATGGTTGTTGCAAGCTGTTAAGGATCATTCTCTAATAAATGCTTTCTAAGTTGAATGTGTTTTTCATACCTGTGAGGAAAGCACTTTGCTTTTGCTGCTGTTTTCATTCTGGAAATACACTTCATCTTCTGTGAACAGTTTTAAATAATAGATGTCAGTATTAGTCACCCAGGGAAAATAAGAAATCAGTGAGTTTCAGAATTTCTGTAACTGTTGAAAAACAGAGACTTTTGGGTGTTGCAACAAATGTAAACAACATTCTGTCACAGTAAAGGTGAATTAATGGAATTGTAAAAGCTAAATATGTGTGTATGGGTGGATATATAAACATACCTGTGCTCTGTGAAAACTCAGTGAAGCAACATGAAAATTGTTTTTGCAATGTTGACTTGAAATCTGCAAGGTAAATGGGATTGTGTACTGTTCCTTGAGTGCACATAGAGGAAAAAAAGCAGTGCTGTTAATAACACAAAAACAAACCCTAAGTTCTTTCAGTTTAATTGCGCTAATTAGCCTGGGATCAGATCTGTCTCATCGAGCATAGTGACGACTGGAATCTATGTCATGTATCTGCTATGCTGCATTGCTAAGAGATAAAGCAGTTCTCCTTAGTCCATGTTTCTTAGAACCATACTGGCAGGGCAGTGCTTACCTTGGGAGTCAGCTGGTAAATGCCAACTGGGTGCTTGTCACAGGAGGTGATGATGTGCAGAAGTGCAGGGCGTAGAGACTTGAGAGAAAGTATTGCAGACTTTCTTTTGCTTGAAGGATGGGAGGCTGTACAAGATGTGTTAAGCACAGGTGATGGCTGTGGGAGTCTGCACAGATTTCAGGATGGCTCCAGTGCTTGGGGTGAACAGAGCCTGTATGGAAGAGGGGTGGAGATTAAAATCAACAGATGTGTTTCATATAAACAATTCAGTTTGTTTTATGAATAGAGATAATTACTAATGGAATGAAAGTAAATAAATAAATAAAAAGTCTTTTAATAGGAAAAAGAATATTTGATCCACTAGTTACCATTAACCCCCATTTAAAAGTAACCAGCAGCTGAAGCTGGGGGCTGGTATTTCCAACTATTAAGCACTAAGGAGTTCCACAGTTTCTTTTTCCATTCAGTATTGTTGTGTGTGTTTGGGAATTAATATGTTAAGGCTCTGATTTTTTTTTTTTTTTTTTTTTTTTTTTTTGTAAAAAGCTTTTCGGTGCAGGCAGGTCTCGAGATTTGCACTCCACTAACAGTGAGCAGGATAAATGGGTTAAAAGTGTTCACCTAGATGGAGGCCGAGCAGATCTCCAGGCTTGGCTGAAGTGGGTTCTCTGAAGCAACCACCTACTCCTTGCTCTTGCTGCTGAGCTGTGTAGGCTCATTCATGGTCCTGATTTTTCTGTTGTACTTACTAAAGGAATGCATTGAAACTGGAGAACACCATACAGTGTATTTGAAAAGCTGTGAAGTGAGGAGGCCTAGTGTGAGCTCCTGAAGGATATCTGTAGGCAGCAACACATCAACAAATGCTGGCTGAGGTTCCAAGTGGTGTTTTCAGATGAAGCGTGAATATTTTACCCGACTGTTAAGGATCCACCCTTCCCATGAGGTGCATTACCTGCTGTCCTGCAGTCTCCAGAGAAGACATAACAGAAGTGTTCTTTGTTTTCTGTGGCTTCTTTTAGAAACAATCCAGCTGTGTTGTGTTGCAAGGGAAACCTTCATGCTATTACCACATCTTGAACAGTAGCATGAGACTGGCTTCTGTGAGTTAGCTATTGAAAGACAAGTCTTCGAAACAGTGATTTCATGGTTTCATTGCCACTGATCTGGAGAAGAGGTAGCAGGTGAGAGGTGATCTGGCTTCAGGTCTGTTGCTTCGCTTTACCTTGGCTTCGTTATGTCGATTAACAGTTTCTACTGCAAACTTTCAGCTGTCCTTATTAGTCTCTGTAACATGAACAATTAGGGACTCATTCCATGTGCAAATAAAGACCTATAGTAATGTTTTCTGCCAGAAAAGGACCGCTGTTGTTTGGCAATGTTGGAAGTATAGTGAGAGACGTTTCTTTAGGGTTTTAAACTTGTCTCATGGTTTGTTATGCTGTACCAGGACAGGAAGGTGTCTCCTGTTGGTGCAGAAATCTGCTGTAACAGAGAAAATAGGCAGAAATGTTGGCTCAAGAGTCAAGGCTGGCTGAGCTGGTCTTTGTTTTGTGTGCACGTGTAGAGCTGCTTGTAGACCTGCAGGCTCCACGGATGTGGTGCTGCCAGCTAAATAAGGTGGTCTGGTGGAATGATACATGTAGGTAAAGGAAAAACTCATACTTGTGATGCTTGCAATTTTAGGAAAACATACAGTACCTATTAAAGGTAATGATGGCATCTTTTTAGTGAATCTTACCTGGGCTTGGGTGCAGCTGAAGTGGAAGCCAGGGGCTTTCACCAGTCATTTGAGCAGCTGTTCAGTGTGCGGGCGAGCCTCTGTGAAGATGGTGGGTTAAAGCAGATGATGACGACCTTAGAAAGCCGAACCGCGATCCTCTTTGTCTAAAGCTCCGCTAATTCTTTCTGCACGCTGTTTTTGTCCTGCTGCCATCGCGACAGCATCTGTAGTGCATTAAGTGACGTGGGTGACATCTGTCCAGGGAGACTGCGGGTGGGAGCTGTGAGTGGGGTTAAACGTTGCCCCGTAGAAGTTCATCTCTCCATTCAGATTGCTGATATTTACACCCAGCGAGCACGAGAAAGCCACGGAGAGTCGGCACCAGAGCGACTGAACGACTCTCCTGGTTTTCCTAATAGCAGTGAAGTAGCTTCTCTAGGAGATACATGTTGAAGCACTGCTTAGAACTTTCAAGCTGCCCGGTCCTTCATTTCAACGCTCATCTCCTAGCTTGGGTCCGGTTAGAGACCTGCGGCCGTTCCTCGGACGGAGCCGCGGCGCGGGGCAGGGAGGAAGGAGCCGCCAGCGCTGCGTGCGGCGGCCGAAAGCCGCCGTTGTTTTCCGAATAGCGAGCGCGAGGCCCGGGGAGAGGCGCGCGTGGCGCTGAGAGCGGCGCTTCCTCGGCCCTTTCCGGGCCGCAGCCGGCAGCGGAGACGGACCCGCTCCGGACGGCCTCCATCTTGTCGGGGCTCGGGCCGGGCGGGAGGAATGGGCCGGGCTCGCGTTAGGGGCCGCGGCCGCGAGGCGGAGAGCCCGGCGGCACCGGGCGGAGCGGGCACGGAAAGCCAGGATCCGCCCTGCGCCGAGCCGCGCGGTGCTGCGGGGCCGGCCGGGCCGTGACCCCTTGCCGCGCTTCTCCCGCAGATGGCGCAGTGCGTGAGCCGGGTGCAGCTGTCCGTGATCTGCCGCCGCCTCCTCGACCGCGACGTCGGTTCCAAGTCGGACCCGCTGTGCGTCCTGCTGCTGGACGTGGGAGGCCGCTGGGCTGAGGTGAGGCCGCTCGGGGCTGCCCTGCCCGTTCCCTGCCCGTTCCCTGCCCGTTCCCTGCCCGTTCCCTGCCCGTTCCCTGCCCGTTCCCTGCCCGTTCCCTGCCCGTTCCCTGCCC